TTCTTACCCTTGCCACCCTTTCCTTTCATGGAAATGGCCCAACAGAGACGTCTCAGGGGATCCGGGCAAACCATTTGACATGCATTTTCCTGATTCAAATTGAGACTTTTGTGGTTTACCAGATACCACTGTGTACATTTAGATTATTTTACTTCCAACATACCAATGCCTTTAAAAGATGACAATCATAATTTTGTTAACATTTCGAAGGTGTTGCCCAGCCCTTGGGCTTACCCCCAATTCCCCAAAGACACACACACACCCACACACCTCCAGCCCTACTTTCAGTTAACACACCAGCCTCTTGACTCAGAAAGTAAATCTACGTTACAACATAAGTCAATAATGAATGAAAGAATGTATCACAAGTCACTACACAGAGGTCTGCAAGGTCAATTCCAAGACAGAAAGAGTGAATCTTGAATCACAAATACCAAAGTGAATGCCTTGCTACTCAGTCTGGTTGGACGTCCGCCTGTTCTAAATGCAGATTCTTGAGCCTCACCCTAGAGCTACAAAACCAATCCACATTTTAACGAGATCCTCAATGATTTGGGCTCTATTCTAATGTAGCAGCTCTCAACCCTGGCTGCACATTAAAGCCATCAGGAGGCCCTTTAAAGCTACCCATCTCTGGTGCTTGTCATATAATTTGTCTGAGGTGGGGTTCCAGAGTTAATTTTAAAAGCTTTTCTGCTGATTCCAGTATGTGGCTGTGGTTGAGAACCAATGTGGACAATATGAATCTGGCCGGGTTTTCACTGCCCTTAAGACCTTGGATAGCAGCTTAACTGTGGAGTGGGAATCCAGGTCTCCTGGGGTTGAAGGTATTCGAGAACAGAGAACAGAGGCTGCTTCTACAACAAAGAGGCTCTGGGAGCAGTGAGAAGGGAAACAGGAAGAGTTCTGGCTATGTATGCACAGGGCATTTCATTCATTCGCCTCCAGCCCCCTCTCTCATACCAGGTGTTGGTGCAACTCGGTGCCAAGAAGCCCCCTTGTCCCAGCCTTTGGGCCCTTGGTCCAGACAGGCACGATGTTAGAGGTGAGGCTGCTGACCCAGCCCTGTTACCATCTCATTATCAACTATATCTCCTGCTGTCTAATCCTGAGTGAGTAGAAAAGGCACATGGAATTCAGGGTAAACTGGTTCAGCTTCTATGGTATTTTCCTTCACTGATTTTGAAGTCAAGCATTCTTTGTTTAAAGAATGTGAGTCATATGACTGCAGTAAAGCTATTTTCACCAGGCAGCCTCTCAGTTTAGGGAAACCGTGGCATCTGCTCTAGAGGACAGTTAGTAGAAATTCTCAGAAGATGCTGCATGTATGTAAATCACTGTTTGTAGCAGCCAAATTTTAGAAGCATTTTTTAATTTAAAAATCTATGAGCTTGAACCTAACTGGACTACCTTGTGCTTAGAGGGAGCAACTTGGAGATCTTTACAAGGGATGAGGTAGGCATATCTGCCAGCCAGAACTTTGCTCAGCACACTGTCTAGATGCCAGTAACTAGTGCCATTGTTACAGTCAGAGGGCTCCCAGATTAGAAATGACCCAGGAACCAGGTTTCAGGACCTGAGGTCACTGTTTCCAAGTTCACCCAGTCACAGTGCTTGGCTGAGATTGTTAATCCTGTTCATGCTGATTCCTAGGTATCATCCCAGACCCAACAGACTCTGAATATTGTATTTGTGGTTTGTTGTTAAGTGCCATCGAGCTGGTTCTGACCCATAGTGACCCTGTATAGGGTTTCTGAGGAGTGACTGGTGAGTTTGAACCACAGACCTTGCAGTCTAGTGCCTTATCCTACAGCGCCACACAGCTACCACTTACTAAGAAATTAATCTGTGCCTGTCAGTTCTGACTCATTACAACCCTGCATAGGGTTTCTGAGAAGTGGCTGGTGGGTTGGAACCACATACTTTATAGTTAGCAGTCCAGTGTTTATCCTACAGCACCACACCAGTGCCTTTAATAAAATCATCCATTCCCCACAAAACCAAGAAAACCAAACCCACTGCCATGGAGACCCTATAGAACAGAGTAGAGCTGTCCCATAGGATTTCTGAGACTCCAGATCTTTCCATTTTAGCAGATTGCCTTATCCTACCCATGCTGAATGCTTAGTGGGTTCTAACCACCACCGTTAGCAGCCCAAAGCTTATTCCCACTGCACCATCAGGGCACCTTAATTCTTACCAGAGCCTAGAAATCCAGGAACTTGCCCAAGCAGAATCACAGTTACCAAGAGGTGGGGGTGGAATGCAAATTCTACCCTGAATACTGTAACAGTACACAAAGCAGGAGGCTGTTTAGTTTATCAAGCAGAAATATCAACTAGGCTCTAGAACAAAGACTTGAGGACCTGGGTTGGAATGGGTATGCCTGAGGCAATAGGGCCAAAAGTGAGACCTTCCTGCAATCTGGGCCAATGCCCAGATCCTGTTCCCTCAAACCCAGGAGGAGCAGCACCCAATGAGGTCCAAGCACCCAGAATTACCTTGGGGCCCTCCACTCAAAGTGGCTATCCTACCTGCTCATGGCTCTAGAGAGCTGCCTTGCCTAAACAGCCCCAGTTCAGGCCAGGCCAGAGCCCTGTGTGCCCAGGGTGGTGAAACAGGCAGATAGGAGAACCACCCCAGGTGATAGCCAGCCTTTTCTTCAGAACTCAGGGCTACACTCAGGCAGGGAGTGGTAAATACAAAGGCTCTCTGCCTCAGCCTGTGCTCACATCAAGTGCTTCCACTCAAGTGCCAGCTCAGAACTCATGGGCTGGCAAGTCCAAATGGACTTCCTCTTTTTTAGCAATACTGTGAGTTGGAATCAATGTCAAAGCAGTGAGTCAAGGCCTACGAGGGCAGGTCAAAAAGGACTGCTACAAAATCATAGAACCTTTTATTAAACACAAACATCATAACGTGAACCTCTGGTAGTGTAGCGGTTACGAATCGGGCTGTGAACTGCAAGGTCAGCAGTTCAAAACTACCAGCTGTTCTGCAGGAGAAAGATAAGGCTTACAGCCTCAGAAATCCTGTACAGGGTCACTATGGGTCGGAACGGACTCCACGGCACATAACCACCACCACCATTGTTTCTCAACATATCCTCCATCTAGATCTCTACACTTCTGAAAACAGTGTTTGCATCTAAGCACTGGACTGCTAACTAGAAGGTCAGCAATTCAAGTCCATCAGTCATTCCCTGGAAGAAAGAGGAGGCTTTCTGCTCCCATAAAGCTGTGCAGCCTTGGAAACCCTGTGCAGGGTCGCTAGGGGTTGGAATTGATTGAATGCAGTGGGTTCCTCTCTGCACTGTGCATTTAGACTACATCAAAACAGCAGGTTTGGCATCCTTGAGGGATTCAAATTGCATTCCTGTTAAATGCTGAATTTTGGGAACAAAATGTCTAAAGGGTTCTAGGTGGATGGGGAAAGGTTTCCAAATGAAAATGAAATTCTCCCAAGAATAAGCAGGAGCATTGTCACAATGGAAAAAATTCTACACTATGGTCTTGGCCTTTTTCTCACCAATGCAATTTTCAGTTTTCATAAAATTTCTTCCTAAGGAGCCCCCATGATCTTCTGTGTCCTTCAAGAATATCTATCAAGATTTACCCCTTGGGAATCCCCCAAACACTTACCATAATCTGAGCTGATCTCACTGCCTTAAATTTAACTGGCCCAGTGGATCCCCTCAGAAGTCAGTTGGATTATACCTTTTTAAAGGGCACCCTAAAGAGCTCTGGTAGTGTAGTGGTTATGAATCAGGCTGCTCATCTTAAGGCCAGCAGCTTGAAACTACCAGAGGTTCTGCAGGAAAAAGATGAGGTTTTCTGCTCCCATAGATTTACAGCCTCGGAAACCCTATGCTGGGTCGCCATGAGTTGGAACTGACGCCACGGCAGGCACATAACCACCACCACCAAGACTCCTGGAGTCCTGGTGTGGCAACGTAGGATAAGCACTCAACCTCAAAGCCAGTTTGAACCACAAGGTTGGCAGTTCAAATTCACCAGCTGCTCCATGGAAATCCTATGCAGGGTCACTATGATTTGGAACTAACTCAACAATACTTGACAAGACTCCTGGTGGGGTGCTGTAGGATTAGCACTGGACTGGGAACACAAGGTTGGCAGTTCAAATGCATCAGCTGCTCCTTGGATACACTATACAGAGTTGCTATGAGTCGGATGTTACAAACAAGACAACAACTAAGACAATTGTTAATACTGAGAGAACTTGTCTACAGCCATCCAGATTGCAAAGAGACGTTTAAACAGATTTTGTTTGGGATAGACCTGTGCACGTAGGAAGGAACTCGAACAAAACTAATGACTTTTGGCTTAACCTTGTACCCTCGTTCCAAGAGGGAAAAAAGGCTTTGCTTACTAAACCCACAGACCCCTGGAAATCAAGCCAAAGAGAACATTCACCTATCAAAGTCCTGATTGAAACTCAACATTCGGTAGTGTGCAGGGGTCACGAGGGGGGATGGCCTAGGATTGGGAGCTGAGCATTTAAAGGGTCCTTGCAGCTGGCGCTCCTTTTCTAGCCTGGGCTGTTTCTGCTGCAGCAGAATTCAGGGCAGCTCATTTAGAGCTCAGGAATTTCTGCCTCAAAGCCAAGCTGGCAGCGCTGGGACGAGACTGGGCACTTGCTGAGTTCACTTCTGGCCTATCTGGCTTTAAAATTTCCCAATGTGAGTGAAGAGAAATCTGCCTCTCCACACCCCGACCTCAGGAGGACCAAGAGCGCAAGCTCAAGTCACAGTCCCTTTTCTTAAGAGAAGAGAACGTTGCATCTTTTATTTAGACAGGAAATTCAGGTCAGATCTCCAGATAGATGTTCAACAGGAAACAAACACACAGGAAACATAAAAAACATAAAAACACTTTCCTCACGGACTCTGTCCTGAACTTCTGCCCAAGTTCCCATTTGTGGCTGTCCCAGGCTAGGGAAGCAGGGCCCAGGCCCTAGCAGAAGCAGGAACGGCAGCTCTGTCAGTATTTCCGCTGCCGTGGGAAGAGACTGCTCGCTGAGGATCGCAGTGGAGGGCTGGAGGGGCTGGGGTCCTCTGAGTCCAGGCTGAAGAGGTCCCTGCCTGTTCGAAGGATCTGCTCCTCCAGCTTCTTGTGCCTCTTCATGTCAGAGAGGACCTTGTCCAGGCGGGCCTCCCGCTTCTGGCTCCGGGCTGAGCTTCCTGTATATAGAGGGAAGGGTGAGACATGTGGAGGGGCTGGGACCGCGTGCATGCACCTGACCTGCAGGCATCTGGCATCTTACCAATCATTTGGGGAGCTTGTTAAAAATATGGATTTCCAGGTCTCTGAAGTTTGGGGTTGGGCCTTGACTGGGGTGAGCAGGGAAGGCCTCTTTAAGAGGGTGATGGTGGTGCACCTGAATTTTGACAAGGCACCAGTAATGTGAAGATCAGGGAAGAGCATCCCAGGCAGAGGAGAGAGCCCCGGGCAGGAGCAGAGGAGAGTGCTGGAGGGTAGGGGAAGGTAGGAGAACAGCAAAGGGCCTCACAGGCCATGCTAATGGGTCTGGATTTCTTACTCTGGTGGTGGTGGTGGTGGCTGTGTGCCGTGGAGTCGGTTCCGACTCATAGCAACCCTGTACAGGGTTTCCGAGGCTGTAAATCTTTACGGGAGTAGAACGCCTCATCTTTCTCCTGCGGAACAGCTGGTAGTCTCGAACTGCTGACCTTGCTGTTTGCAGCCCAATTTGTAGCCACTACGCTACCAGAGCTCCTTACTCTAAGTGGCATGAAAGCCTCTGAAGCAGAAAAGTGATATGGTTTGTATTTTAAAGTATCAGACTGGTTACTGAGACTGGAGGCCGAAAGACCAGCTAGGAGCTATGCAGCATCCTGCAAAGAGATAATGGTAGCTTGGATGAAGAAAGTGTAGTGGCACAGTTAAGCACTGAAAGAAAGATCAGCTTCCTTCAAGATAACTGCCTTGGAAACCCTAAGGAGTCTTACTCTGTAGAGCACTTAACACCAACAATGGGGTCACTGTGAACCAGAATGGGCTCAACAGCAGTGGGTGTGGTTTTGCTGGTAACTGATGCTGGAAGAAGGCAGGGGGTAGGTTTTGACGTGCCAGATCTTTGAGTCTGGAGTTCAGGGGAGAGTTAGAAGATTTAAATGATGTCTAAATCCACTGGTCTGCAGAAGATGGCCTGGAAGATAATACAGACAGAAGACTCAGCCCTGGGAACAGCCATCTTAAAAAAAATCAAACTTCTCTGAGCGGTTTATTTAACCAATATCCTTTGTGCTCATACATCAGGTACTTTTCTAAGCCCTTTAGCGTGTCAATGACTCGGCCAAAGGCTCATAACTGGCAAGTGATGGAGCCGGGATTGGTGGCCAGGCCATCAGGTCCCAGAATCGGCTCTCAGTCATCAAGGAAGAGATGAAGCAGAGAGAAAGAAACCCGGGAAGACCAAGAAGGAACAGTCAGTGAGGAAGGAGAGGACTGTGGGCAGGAGGGCCTGCAAGTAAAAAGAATAAAAGTATTTCAAGAATCTGAGTGATTGAGTAAGATGAGGACAGAAGGAAAGACCACTGGCTTGGACAATTCTGTGGGTTTCTGGTAACTCTGCAATGAGGCAATTTTAATGGAGTGGGGTTCAAAGCTGGTGTGAAGTAGCTGAAAGCAAAAGAGACAAAGAATATAAGCAGCTTCTGAGAAATCTGTCTGTGAAGGGGAGAAAATAGGGGACGACTGCTGCAATTGGAACAAATTCCTGTAAAAAGGGTTTCCAAAGGTTTTAGAAAAAATTCCGTTCTCTTTTAATTCAGTTTTTCCATGAATTTTTTGAAGTCCCTCATACAATCATGAATAGTCCAGAAGACTGAAACAATCCACTGATGTAGGAGGGTAAGGACAGGATTCAGAACCCAGGTAGGTGGGTGGGGGAGTGAGTGTGTTGGCCTTCATCCACGGCACTAGGACAGGTATTTGAATATGGCCGGTGTAAAGAGGCTGGCAGATCTGGGAGCCTACAATTAAGGAAGTATGCTCAGCATTTCTCAAGCTGAAAGAACTAAGGAAAATTTTCAAGTCTCAGACTGCAATATTGAAAAATTCTATGGGAAAAATACTGAACGATGCATAAAGCATCAAAAGAAGATGAAAGGAAAACAGAGTTACTGTACCAACAATTGGCTGATGTTCAACCATTTCAAGTGGTAGCATATGGTCAAGAATTGATGGCACTAAAGGCACTGGTGAAAAACAAGACTCCAGGAATTGACAAAATACAAAGTGAAATGTTTCAACAAACTGATACAGCACTGGAGGTAGTTATTCGCCTATATCAAGAAGTTTGGAAGACAGCTACGTGGCCAACCAACTGGAAGAGATCCTTATCTGTGCCAATTCCAAAGAGAGGTTACTCAATGGAAAGCATTCAACAATGTAATTAGTATTTTATGCAAGTAAAATTTTGCTGAAAATAATTTAAAAATGGTTGCAGCAGTACTTCAACAGGGAGCTGCCAAAAATTCAAGCTGGATTCAGAAGAGGAATTGCTGATGTCATGTGGATCTTGGCTAAAAGCAGAGAATACCAGAAAGAAGTTTACTTGTGCTTTATTGAAGCAAAGGCTTTCGATTGTAGATTGTATGCATCATGGCAATCTGAGGATAACGGTGTGAATAACAGCAATTCCAAAATGTTTATTTGTGCTGATGAAGAAATTGTATATAGACCAAGAGACATTTGTTTGAATAGAACAAGGGGATACTGAATGTTTTAAATCCAGGAAGGTTAGGGTTGTATGTAATCTTTCACCACAGCTATTCAATCTGTATGCTAAACAAATAACATAGGAAACTGGATTAGATGAAGAAAGTGGCATCAGGATTAGAGAAAGACTCATTAACAATCTGTGATATGCAGATAATATAGCCTTGCTTGCTGGATGGGGAGTTGAAATACTTACTGATTAAGATGAAAGACTAGTTTTTAGTATGACTAGCTCTTCAATGTAAAGAAGACAAAATCCTCACCACTGGACCAATAAATAACATCATGATAAATGGAGAAAAGATTAAAGTTGTCAAACACTTCCTTTTACTTGGTTCCACAATCAATGCTCATGGCAGGAGCAATCAAGAAATTAAATGATGTACTGCAGTTGTAAATTTGTTGCAAAAGTCCTCTTTAAAGTGTTGAAGGGCAAAATGTCACTTTAATGACTAATACTAAGGTGCACCTGACCCAAGACATGGAATGTGAAAGTTGTACTGTGAATAAGAAAGCCCACAGAAAAACCAATGCATCTGAATTATGATGTTGGTGAAGAATATTGAAAGTACCATGGACTGTCAGAAGAACGCACAAATCTGTCTCGGAAGAAGTACAGCCAGAATGAGCCTTAGAAATGAGAATTGTGACACTGTCTCTCGTACTCTGGACACGTTGTCAGGAAGTATCAGTCCCTGGAAAAGGACAACATGCTTTGTAAAGTGGAGTCAGTGAAATAGAGGAAGACCTTTCAGTGAGAAGGATTGAATGGTGGCTGAAACAATGGGCTCAAACAGAACCACAGCTGTGAGGATGACACAAGAATGGGCAGTGTCCCGTTTCGTTGTCCATAGGGTTTCTATGAGTTGGAATCAACCTGACAGCAGCTAAGAAACCTAACAACATCTGTCTTAACTTGCTTTGCTATCACAGTTACCAATTACGTGCAAAGGAGGTTAATAGCTGCGGGGAGGGAAGGGAGGAACAGAAAATACACAGTAAATCTGAAGAAAAGGAGCAAATTATAATCTCAGGAAGGGAACATATAAATATTCCACGTCAGAAAATATAATAGGGTTCATTGACAGTCTGTAGTTAACAATAAAAAAGGAGATCAGTTAGCACATTTGTGTTTTTTCCCCTAGTAGTAAAGTAGAGAGCTAGATTTAAACAGGAAAACAGGTGTAATAAAGAAACTGCAAAGAGCAAAGAGAAAGGTGAGGGAGATCAGAATGGTTGTAAGGGAGTGAGATTCTGAAGCCAGCCCTTGGATGGTGGTGAAGGTCAACTGGTCAGCACATCTAGAGCACAAGCATAAGATTATAGCATATGCTGTAAGGATACAGGTGGGAGCCTGGAAGTGGGACGTTTAAAATCGTGATTTCAGGGGTAGAATAATGTTAGGTGATGGCCAGATTGAGACCCTGACCACAGCACCAAACTAGGTGCTGTCATGGTGACCCCATGTGTCAGGACAGAACTGTACTCCACAAAGTAGGTAGTGGCTAAGGATGGAGGGGAAAAGTTATTGGAAATTGAAGCGAGAGACTAGGGGATTAGGTGGACCGACCTGACATTTCAGGTTAACTATGTCAGCACAGAAGAAGAAAGGAATATTTAAGAAGCTGAAACTGGCAAGGCTGGAGGGCTGGTGAGATGATAGCAAGATGGAGAGATGGGCTTGTTACTTTTTCATATGAAATTCAAAAAGAGTTGAGAATTTTAAGAGGAGGCGAATGCTTTGTAAGTGACCACAATGAACAAGGACAGCATGAATTCCATCTCTAGGCCTCAAGGTAGGTGGGTTGTGAGAGAAAAGTTAGCCTCTACTTGGGGTGAAAAGAGGCAATGTCCCCACTTAGTTTTGGTTTGGATAAGACGGCCAACGTTCAGAGATGAAGAGTGAGGGGAGTTTGAGATGCTGGCCAAGTCTCACATGTGGGGTGAGACACTGGGTCACATGAGGAGATCTACACAGTACCCCAAGGATAGATCTAGATAATACCGGATGGTCAAGAAAATCTGAAATTCTGAGACTATGGAGACAAAAGGGAAGAGAAACATGACGGAATTATCTGAGAGGGTCTATACAGGAAAAGAGGCTGTCAATGTAAACCTGAAGGATGTGCTACTGGACAAATGTTCTCATGTAGCTAGAAGCCGTCTGAGAAGCAAGCCACCTAGCCAAGGTCTCTTGTAGGGAGTCATTGTTTGAGTAAGCAGAGACCCTTCACCTCCCTCAACTTTCCCTCTTGTCTGTACCTGGAGTGCGTCGCCGGTCAATCAGGGAATCCTTTGGTGTCATTGGCTCATCATCAAAGTCAAATTCCGTTGGCATGTGAGGTCTGAGACAGGTAGACAGCAAACGGACAGTGAGGATGCCCTTCTCCACCAAACCACCACCCAGCCTGCCTGCTCTTCCTCTCCGTTTCAGGGCCCTGGGTTCCCCCTGTTTTCCTTCCCTATCTCCCTCCTGGCATCAAAGGAGTAGCCCCAGGGTCAAGGTGTAAGGGTGTGTCCTCACTTTTCCTCTTCCTCCTCTTTGGGTTCAGGCTCCTCATCGGATCTCTCCTCTTCACTCTGAGCCTCGGGTGTGGGCGGCCGGCGGGGCAGAATCTCTGCCTGAAGCTCCAGGGTCCCGTGGGCAGCCAGCAGTTCATACAGCCGCTGGATCTCAGAGGGCGGGGGCATCCAGGACTGTCCCCTGGCCGGCGGCTCCAGCTCCTCATCGCTGCAGGGCACACCCCAGTCCTCGGATTCTCCGTCGGCCGGCTCTTCCCCCACAGTGCTGGGGGCTTCTTCCGGTGTCTCCTGGGCCCTGGGTCCCTCTCGCTGGGCTTCCTCCCGCTCGCCTTCCCTCTCTTCGTTGGCCTTACTGACCGAAGTAGGGGGACCTCCGGAGTCCTCCACGGCCAGAGCCTGGAGGCCGGAGGTCACTTCCCCTTCTTCAGGCAGAGGCGCCGCCGTGGTGGCCGCAGGGTCTCCATGTCCCCGAGTAAGGGACATAGGCCACTAGGGACGGGGTCTTGCAATGACAGGAGATACAGGGGTACCAAGCTGGGGTTGGGCTCCCAGGGTAGGAAATGTCTTTCCAATCAGGCACCCATTGCAGTGCCCCGCCCCCCTCCCAACATATTCGCTCTTCCCCGAGACTGGTAGAAACCACTTTTCTTGCCGGTGAGGACAAGAAGAGGGGCAGGCCCACTCTTCTCGCCTTGACACCACCCCTCCCCACACCTGAACAGGGGGCCCTGTCCTCAGACCTTGCAGTTCGGGGACGCGCCACCTCGGCCGCGAGATACACCTGGAACTAAAACCCTCCTCCCCAGCTGCGAAGGGTCTAAGTACGCAGGCGCACAAATGGCGCGGGAAGCTCCGCTCTACGCACAACTACTTGGAAGTCGAGTCAGGGCAGGCCTGCACATGCGCAGAAGAGGGTAGTTAGGTATTAAAGGCTTCGGCCCACAGTAAAGATGGCCATCGGGGTAACGCATGCGCACATCACTCAGTCGGCTCTGCCAGAAGCAAGGCAGTACCGCTTGCGGGGTAGTGGACTAACGCAAAAACCAACTGAGGCTTAAGAAGTCTCATGCAGTCTCCGTTTATTGGTGTTTCAGACCCATGCAGCATCCGGCATACAAAAAGGGGGAGTCAGTTTGATATATATGTATTAGGAATTCTAGTCGTCCCCCTCTACCACCACCACTTCAAAAAACAAAACTCAAAAACCCCCGCTAACTCCAAATCGCGTTTTAGCGTTGTTCGGTCCCCGCCTCTCCTGGGGGCAATCGCCTTTACGTGCAGCTAACCTCCCTCGTTCTCTTAAAAAATAAATTATAGCGTTTCCCGTCCCTCTTTCTCTCGCTCAGTGTGGATGGGCGCTTTGGTCCTATTTTTTAGATTATTTCATTACAAAGACGTGAATGACCTGTGTCCCGACGTCTTTAGAAAGAAGCACACTGACTGAGAGATAAAAAGCCCAGGTGGGGCGAGTCAATTCCCGTACCCCTCTCCTCTCCCCAGAGTTAGCTGGAAAGTCATACTTGCCACCCTGCACATGCCCCCAGACAGGTCGTGAACTCTGTGACCCTCGAGGTGCCCTCGGGGCATCTGGGACTGGTTGGTCCCAGCAGAGAACAGTCAGAGCCCCTGGGCCAGGCTAGGGAGCCCTCTCCAGATACCCCCCCAGCCTGACCAAAGTGCTGGAGGTTTTGCAGAATAAACAGTGGCAAGAGGGTGGAAGGGAAGATGCTGAGAGGAGATGGGGAGGTAGGAAGATGAAGGAGGTAGAGATGTGGAGAGAGAGGACTATGACAAAATGAGAGAAGAAAGAAAGGGCTGGGGAAGATGCCAAGACAATGAAAATCAGGTTGGGGGAGGAGGAGGCCTGGGCACTAGCTGAAGCATAGGAAAGCTGGGAGAGATGCTGGGAGGAGGCTGAGAGAGTGCAGAGTTTGTGAGATGTTCAAGGAGATTGAGAAAAGTGCAGGGAGGTTTCAGAAGTGCGGGGATGGGGAGGCCAAGAGGCTAGAGGGGATGCAGGCCGAAGTACCAGGGAGGTTAGAAACAGTGCAGGGAGAAGGGAGGCCTATGGAGAGGAGCCTGGCAGGATGCAGGAGCAGGAAAGAAGCTGTAAACAAGGCTGCTCAGGCTCCCTTGGTCCCTATGGGTGGGGGCCAGGGCCATCGATTGGGCTTCCCCCACCCCCAGAGGAAGGATGGGCCCAAGCCAGCTCCCAACAGGAAGAAAAGTCTTGGAATGCAGGGCAGAGTCCCTCACTTATACACTGTGGGAGAGGAGAAGGAGGGACAGACAGACATTGGAGGGTGGGTAGAGACAAAGAGAGACAAAGGAGAAGTAGGGGGGACAGACAGGAGAGAGCAGGGGCAGGGGTTAGTAAAGCTTCCCATGCCAACCCTTCCATTCCTCCCAGCCTGTCCCAGACCCCCACTCACCGCCTAAATTGATGACGCAGGATGCTATGATGATGAGGACCCCCCCCACCAGCGCCACGATGCTTAAGAGCTTGGCCACGCGGCCCAAACGCTGGGCCCCATCCACATCCCCCTGCTGCAGGCTGTTCCGGGACTGGGGTGAGGGTGGGGACCAAAGTCCAGGTCAGGAGAAGCCCGCCAAGCCGAGATCAGGTGAAAAAGTCAGTCGTCCAGTGGAGACAGATCAGCCCCAGGAGCAGAGATGAAGGAAGGACAGAGGATTGGGAAGGCAGGGGTTAGAGTGCACTGGTTAGCAGGGGCATGTCAAACATCCCTCCCAACCAAAGGGGTAGGGGAGTGGTTGCCACAGGGTGAGGTCCTGGGAGAGGCAAGCAAAGGTGGGGTCATTGGGGAGGTGGGATCCATGCAGAAAGGAGAGGGAAAGCCAGGCCACTCCTGGGCTCTGTCCCAATGCTGATAGGAAACTGGAAACCATAGCAGGTCAGGGTCCCACAGGGCTCACCATGACAGCATAAGCGAAGGCCACGATGTTGACAGGCCACATGGGGCAGAAGCAGGACAGGATGGCGAGGATGATGTAGTCCCGAGGTTTCTGGGTGCCTTCACCCCCCTCCACCCCAGGTCCCCCTAGCTGGGAGCTGGGGTGGCGGCTTAAGCTACCTCGGGGAGATCCTGGGTGCCCACTGTGAGACCTTCCCATTCTGTCCTCCTCAACCAGCTGTTGCAGCACTCGGGGTGGAGCTCCATTGGCTGGAGGAGTTTTGGTGGAGGGTGACATGTGAGGCTGGGGGGCTGGACCCTCTTCCCCATCACCAGCCTGAAGGGGGACCACTGCTCCATTCTCCTGCTTTTCTCCCATACTCTCTGTCAGGGCCTCGGTGGGGCTGGGGTCCTCCTGGATTGGGGGCTCTGGTTGGAGGGCTGGCTTGGGTATGGGCTGGGAACCTGGCTGGGGGTCTGGCTGAGGGTCTAACTGGGGGTCCTGTTGTGGAGCTGGTTCTGAAGCTGCCTCAGGGAGTTCTGCAGACTCCAGCTTGGTGGACCCCTGGTCAGCAGTGGCCTTTGTACTTTCCTCTGATTTGAATGCTGAGTATTGACATGCTTCTTCTGGGTTGGAACTGGCCTTTGATTTCCCTCCTGAGCTTGAGCTGAGGTCTGTGGCTTGGGCTGTTTCTGAGACTCCAGCGGGGGTCTCTGTGCTTTCGGGAGCCAGCCGAGCCTTGGGCTCTGAGTCTACAGGGGCCCCACTGGTGTCTGGCTCTGGTTGCTTGGACTCTGGCTTGTCTGATACCCCAGATGGGACCTGGGAAGGGCCAGTTCCAGCTTCAGGGTGTCCACACTGTTCTCCCTGGGCCTGCGGACCCTCCAGGACCCCATTCATTTCAGATCCCTCAGGGCTGCTGGCTGCCATCTTGAGATGGGAGATGGGAGAGGGCCCCAATGGGGAATATGGAGCAGCAGAGACAGCAGCAAATCCTGCAAGAGGAGGAGACAGGCTTGGTGTGAGCATGGAGGACGTTTCCAGTTCTCAGCACTGCCAGCCCAAGAGGGTCAGGCTGCTATCTCCGGGTCAGTCTCAGGAGAGAAGAGGAAAGTTGTGATTGCCTTTACCTTTGGGGTGCAATATACTCCCCTCAAAAGTCTATTCAGCTTGTAGAGTCCAGGAAAGATTAACCCTTTTGTGAACAGGTCTTTTCCCAGCAAGATCCAGACTCAGATCCTAATAAATGCTCCAGCACCCTTCAAAATCAACGAGCTGTGCAGATACAGGGAAACTCAGGCAAGCCGACAATCACATTCCACTCTCGCTGCATCCTCCCCTCCGCCCGCCCGGGCGCTCAGGCGGTGAGGTTTTCTTACTGCGTGTTGGGATTGTAGACACCTCCGCCCCTCCCTGGGGTTCCTGGGCATCTTCTCCAAACCCCTTTGCAACTCTTCTCTGAGGGATTCCCTCGCTCCCGGTGGGTCGCTCCATCCCACCTTGGCGCGGCGCGCCCAACACCACCAGCCCGCCCGCCAGGCATCCGCATTCCAGTGCAGCCCGCCAGATGTCTGCCGTCTGCCTGTCCACTCCTAGCCTCAGCCCTCAGTCCCCGTCTCACCTCGACGCCGGCCTCTGGGCTGCTCCCGCTGCTGCCGCCGTTGCAGCAGCCGCAGCCCGGGAGGGAGCGAGTCAGCGAGCGAGCGAAGGAGGGAGGTGGCGGGTCTTCCCTCCTCTCCCCTCCCGTCTGCTCGTTCCCTCCTCTGCGCTCCGCTGCCTCGCACCGCCCCCGCCCCTCGCACGCCTCCCGCCCCTCCCTGCCGGCTCTAGGGAGCCCCGCGTGCCTGGCCCCGCGTTACCAGGGCAACCAGCCGGGGGACCACTCGTGCCCCCTCCCTGCCCTTCCCACGCGCGCCTCTGGGGGTGCCCCTTTCCCAAGCCCTGGGCCCCTCCCGCTAACGGTCACTAGGGGTCCTTACAGAGGCAGGGTGCTAGAGAAACGGGAGAGGGCTCTTCGAGAAGTGACAGAACCAGTGAGGGAGGCCGGTCTAAACAAGGAGTGGAAAGGCAACTCCTGAAGCCAGGCTGAGACTGCAGGGCAGCCTGGACCCCCGCAAGAAGACTAAACAGGCAGCTTAGATCATGCCAAGAATGAGGGGGAACGGGTAGAGAAAAGTGCAACTTTTATTTTCAACTTCACTGCTCCCAGTCGTGCGGGCTTAGACCAGGTGGTCTGCATCTCCAGCATCCACCATCGCTTTTAAGGGTGTGCAGGTATTTAGCTGGGTCCAGCTGATGATCTGAACAGCAGACAGTGGGTGTGGATATATATGTGCATTTCCACTCAAAAAACGGTTTGGGTTTCACGGGCGGAGGGGTGGGGGGTGTTGGCTCTTCAAAACTCCAGTGGCTATTCTGGGCCTTTGTGGTTTGGGTATTCCCAAGAGATCTGGGAGTCTCCTGTAACTTGCTCAGAGTCACTAAAGCCTTGCCCCACCCTGAATCTGGGCTGCAGTCACTGGCACCTCCTCAGCCTCTGCGGAGGGAGGAGCCAGAGCCCAGAGGCGGACCAGGCTGTGGCTTAAAGTCAGCCCAAGGAAGAAACCTCATGGAGTGGAGACAGTAGGGGTGATGGTGTTGATGAGGTAATTCATTCAACAGTCAAGAAACAGACTTTTATTTAAAATTTATTGTAATGGGTCCGCGCAAAGGGAGGAGGAGAGGAGGGTGGGGAACATGCAGGGGACACAGGAACACGATGACATGGCCAGGGCCACAGCTTCTGAAGTGGGGAGGAGGGATGAAAAAAAACAAGGCCAGGGCTGGAGCTGGGGTGGAAGAGGGAAGGGGGAGCCACTGTAGCTATATTCCCCCACCCCCAGGAAGCACCTCTAGTCCCTGGATCCCCCCATTCACCCTGGCCTCCCTTAAGATTCCACCTCTTGTTCTGCCTCTGGCCCTAATGGCTCCTTCCTTTGCTCCCCTAGACTTCTCCCCCCCCCCCACTCCCGACAGATTCTCAAGTAGGAGTGATGTTCAGGGCCTGACCCCAAACAACTCTGCTTAGGAAGGTACAATCTTTGCCTTCCCTGCTTCTACCCCTTCTCAAATCTTGTCTAGTTCCATCTGGGACAGAATCTTTGACTCCTCTCTTTTCCCTTCTCCCTCCCCCTGGGGAAAAAAAAAAAAAGGACCAACTCCCCAGGGAGGGGCAGCAGACAGTGGGGAGGAGGGAACTGGAAGTAGAGCAAGGACCATTAAGGAAAGGCTCTCAACTCCCTAGGAGGACAGGGCAGGGGATTACAAAGAGGAGAGGGTGTGAGGGCAGTGGTCACTCCTGTCCTCTGCCATCCCTGCCCACTGTCCAGAAGACTTCAACACAACCGAGGGGACAAGTGTGTGTGTGGGGTCAGGTCTGACAGGGAAAGGAACAGGAGAAACAAATCGTTAAAACCTAGTGAATTCCCCTAAGAAAACAGGTTGCCTTTCTCCTTTCCTTCTGGAGGCTCCTTGGTTGGTGGGGGAAGTAGTGAGGAGTTGGTGGGAAGGGGGGGGGGGGAGAGGAGAGGGTACCAAGGCATTTTCCTCCACTCTCCCCCCACCAACTTGGAGCTCACCAGGGCTGGGAGGGAAGTGGCTGAGAGCTCACAGGCACTCCCTCAGCCCCAGCGAGGGAGCCCACAGCTGTGGGAGGGGCCACTGCTGCTGCTGCTGCCGCTGCCGCTGCTGCAGCCGCCGCCATTGGACAGACCTCACCAGTACCTGCAGTGAGAAGTACCAGGACATCACAGTGTGATCTGAATAGCAAGAGCCTTGCTCCTTGCCCCAGACTTTCCCAGACTCCCTCCCCTGGGACACAGCCGTTGCTCATTTCCTGCTTGGTCCCCAGAGGCTGTAGCCTGCATCCTTACCCAGACAGAGTAGTTCTCCTGAAGGTCTTCCCTGTCCCAGAAGTATCCCTAACCTGGTGGATGGATGGGCATCCCTGGCCTTCCTTCCTGCAATCCCCTAGTGGGCCCTTTGAGCCCCCTTGTCCCACACACCCCATCCCGCCCCCCCAGCCATGCCCCTGGCCTTGCCTGGTGGGTGCGGGGGTCCCCCTCAGCAGGTGGGCTGTGGCTGGGGGGCGTCTCCCAGGACAGGGGGGGCGGCCCCCCCCAGATGGGTCTGCATGTGGCCGGCCAGCTGGGCAGGGGTCTTGCAGTGCACGCTGCACAGCTTGCACAGGATGCGGTCAGCCCGCGGGGCCTGGAGCCCATGGTCCTTCACCGCGTGGATGCGCAGGTATGCTGCTGTGGTGAAGCCTATGGGGGTGGGGGTGGGGTAGGGTAGGGGGTGGATCGGGGTCAGCCAGGCGGAGACCCCAGAGACAGGGCTGTTCTCCTAGGCTGGGGACACCCTCCTCAAGATAGCCTTGTCCTCCTCCCACCACATCCTTGGTAACCTGGGGCCAACTATTCTGCTGGGGCTGGTGGGACAGAGCTCCCCCACCCCCTCAGCTTAGGGGGCCTGGTTTGAGTATTGCCGGCTCCTCAGCCTTGGTGCCCAGAGCACATTCTCTGTGGCTGAGAGATGTCATCTAGTGTGATAGGACTCTGATACCTAGCCACTTGAGGAGCTGACCCTCAGCAGTGACGGCTGTGTCCCCTCCCTCCAGTGTCCCACATGTTTTTGGCCCAGTTCCTGAGCAAATACAAGAGTCTGTTCAAAAGCAGCTTTCTCTGCTACTGGGGCAAGGTTAAAACCCTGCCAATGTACGCCGTTTGTCCCAAACACTAGAGACAAGCATTTGTGATTGTATTTTTGAATTGTCTTTCAACTCTTGGGAGCGGCCTTCTCCCACCTTCCCAAAGCAGCTGTGTCCCACTCCCATCCCCCACCCAGGAGATTGAGTTTTTGGTGACGTGATTCCTCCAGCCAGGCCCTCTCAGAAGTTCAGAACGCTCACTCACCCCAATGCTTTTTCACTGGTTATCCAAAGGGCTCTAGCTGATGCCATGAGCTCTTGGCTACAGCACCCTAACCCACACACCTGTTAAAAGGCCTCTGGCTTTGCCCCCACCCTTTGTCCCTGGTCCTCCAGCATCTTGTGGCATGTACCTTTGTTGCAGAGCTCACAGACATGGTGCGGGCCCTGGCTGTGCACCTTCATGTGGTCCGAAATATAGGCGGAACTCAGCATCTTGCCACACACGTGACATGGCACCTTTTCCTCGTGTCGTACTGTGTGTGCTCGGAGTCGATCCTTCGTAGCAAAAGCTGCCTCACATTTCTGGGGAGGGGGAGGGGTGTGGGGGGGATGTCACAGGAGAGTTAAAGCTTGGGGGAGTAGGGGAAGGGGGGCAAGAGGTTAAAGGAATCAGAGCCTTGGGGGTCTTTGATCTGCAGGAAATGGGAGTGAGATGAGTAGATCTTGAAGAAGGGATGAGAAAATGGAGTGAAAAGGCAAAAAGAAGAGAGAGAAAAAGGGGATCTGAGAGGCTGAACTCAGACAGCTAAAATGAGGATCAAAATCATGAAAATCAGGATAGGAGGAGGTGGGCTTCCTACCTCACATTTGAATGGTCGTTCTGTTGAGTGCACTTGTCTGACGTGACTGTTGAGGTGATCCGGCCTGGGGGATATGTGGGGGTGGGGGTTAGGGCTGAGGCCCTGGAGTGAGTGCCCCCAAACTTCCCAACTTAGTCCAACTGGCTTTGCAAAGGGCCCTGAGTTTTCTCATGAGGCCAGGCCCAGGAGTCCCAGCTCAGCAGGAAACCCCTCCCTTCCAAGTGGCCTTCTCCCCCTCCCAGCTTTCCTTCAACCCAAGGACCCACCTCCTAAGGCTAAGTACCACCCCCTGCTCCCTGGTAACCAGGAAAGGCTTTCCTCCTTTCTCCCTGGGAGTGGCTCCCAGTTCCCATCCTCAGGAGTCTCCTCCCTCCCTACCAGCCAAGGCCAGGCCACTTCGGTGGCCCGTCCCTCCCTCCCGGCCTAGTGGGCGGCTGCAGCCCCCGTGCACACCGGGAGAAGCTCTTGCCACAGTGGGAGCAGTTGTAGGGCTTATGCACAGCGCCGTCATGTGAGCGCACGTGGTAGCTCATGCGGTCCTTGCGCTTGAAGCGCTGCTGGCACACCGGGCACTGGTAGGGCTTCTCGTCCGAGTGCGACAGCTTGTGTCGGTTCAGGTGGTAGACGTCGCGGAAGGCCTTGCCGCACATCTCGCAGGCGTGGTTTTTCCGGATGCGCTTTCCTGAGGCCGTGGTGGTCACCACGCCGCCGGCGGCCACTGTGGCTGCTCCGCCGCCGGTGCCAGCCTCTCCCCCACCCCCGCCAGCTCCGCTCAGCTGGGGCACGCTCAGGAGGCTCAGGGGCACCATGGTGGGCATCTTCATAGCACCCGCGGGGACCCGGCCGGCCTTGGCTCCCGTATGGATGGCCTCGTGCCTCCGAAGATTGTAGCCGTTCTTGAACTCCTTGGCGCACAGAGCGCAGATGTAGGGCCCCTTGCTCTTTGTCTTCTTCTCCAGGGCAGACACGACGGGGGCCACGGAGACCGTCGAGGTGGGGGCTACGGCGGCACTGGCCGCGGCGGCGGTGGCCGAGGCAGGAGGCGCGGCCTCGACAGCAGGCGCCGACACAGGCGGGGGCGGCGGCGGGGGCGC